CTGATTTTTTTTTCCTTCACAGATGCTGCCAGACATGCTGAGCTTTTCCAGCAACTTCGGTTTTTGTTCGCGCCCATTCTCTGATTGGTCAGAGCACCAGCCCCGCCCCTCATCCTCTGGTTGGAGGATCGGCAGCGCCAGAGACATGTCTCTAGCCCCGCCCCCTTTTTTTGCTATTGGTCAGGCCAGTATCAATCAGGCGGTGGGTGCTGGAGGATGCGTACAGGTAACTGTGATTGGGCATGCGCGCCGCGAGCGATGGTCGAATGGAAACGTTTGTCTATGACATCCACAGGCGATGTGGGAAGTTTAGAGAAGGGACCAGCGTTGGTGCAATTTCCGAAAAGAAAGATTCATGATTGCTCAGGTTAGGTCTTAAGCCCCAAACATGGGTTTTCTGGTGCCACAGAAAGCCTCAGGCTTCTTTCCAGAAACAGGCTGCTCTGAACGGTCGCTATCTTGGTTCGCGGGCGGCGGTAATGCGCAGGCGCGGTTAGCGTGGCGGTGCATAGGTGAGTGGGCGGGGCCACGTGTAGCCCCACCCCCCTGCTTCCGTTCGCGCCCTTTCCGTCTCCCGCTCTTTCTCCGTCCCCCATCTGCTCCAATGTCTCTATCTGGGGCTCTGCAGTTTTGTTTGATTACTCCCGGTGGGAGGGTTTACTGCGGTAAAAGTGCAATATGAAACTGGATGTGGTTAAAAAGCAGCAATACTACGAGAATCCCGCTCCTGCAACCCTCTGTAAATCTACAGGTGTCTCAGCAGTTGGATGTCTGACTGATTCTTTCCTGGACTGTGTTAGAACCCTTCTGAATTTTTTTTTTCAATGAAACATCTTTGCTTCGAATCCGAGAGCTGAACGGTGACAGTGATATTAGGAACTGCAGATGCTGGAGAATCCGAGACAACAAGGTGCAGGGCTGGATGAACACAGCAGGCCAAGCAGCATCATAGGAGCAGAGAGGCTGACGTTTCGGGGATGAAGGGTCTAGGCCCGAAACGTCAGCCTCTCTGCTCCTATGATGCTGCTTGGCCTGCTG